ACAGCGAGGAATGAAGGGGGGTGTTACGAATAGTGAAATGAGAAGTCGCATAGTGCATTCCTGCCTGTAGCAAGAACGGAGAACACAGAAAGGAGTACGAAGGCGAAAGGTTGGGTCCGAATTTGAATTTGAATAAGGGAATTTACCCCTTAGTTAGAGTACATGGCTAGCTAGGACGATTGGTATTCCCCTTGTATTGATATTTATACGTTTGTATTTGCGTGCTATAATCATCTCAATCATTTTACATTCTCTGATTTGAGGTCAAGGGCCCACCACTACCACACTCTGTGCGAACCTTCTCGAGATGATCCTGGCTACGATCTACTCTTTCTGATCGCAGCAATAACCATCGTGTGTCATCATTGTCACGTATGGCCTTTTTGCATTATCTTTATCAAAATGCACATTTCATACCGTAGCAGAATCTGTAGGTAGTAGTAGCTATTACCAAGTGGTTTTGCACACCCCATCCGCTTCACAAAAATATGCAAATGTATGCTGAAGCTTTAAGAGCACACACACACACATACACACACATGTAGAGCCACAGGTATGTACACGAGCCAAGTTAGATTCCTAACATCGGCTGATTATGTTAGAAATTGTAAATTTCTTATAACTGCCTGCTAGTGTAGCTACTGTGTAGTGTTACTGTTATTGTTGGTGGTGCACCATCTTGCCCACCCTTTCTCCTACTTGTACCTTCCTTTCTAATCAATCATCCTCTTTTGCCAAACCTTCCTCTCCATACTCACGTTTCCTAGCCAAAACCCTAGATTAAGAAAGCTTGCTTTTTGGTTCTTGCAAGGCAACGTGCTTCATTTAAATTGGTTAATTACAACATTCTCGTCCCACTGAAACATTACATTACATAGTTATCAACTAGGGGTGGGTCGGGGGGAAGCAGAACTGTAAAGTTCCGAAAATGAAGACGTGGGTGGAGGCCAAATGGCCTCCATCCCTCATTATGTACTTGGGAATAGGCATTCGAAGTTGCCCTGCTTCGATACAGTCAGTGCGCTTTCATAATACATATTTTTAGAAAGTGTTACACACTTTCAAGAAAAATCATATTAAGAAAGCTTGCTTTTTGGTTCTTGCAAGGCAACGTGCTTCATTTAAATTGGGTCTTCTGAGACATGTGCGTATGTTGACAAAGTGCAGATTGCAGGGCCGGTTGAGGGCGATGTCAAGTAATAGCGATTGTTGGTGTCAGTTGTTGTGCTCCAAGTTGAGGTGGTTATGGAGGTTGTTGCCTACTTAGGTAGATGACTGTGCCGATGGTTGTTGTTGGAGTGGAAGACGGTTCAAAATAAATGCTGCGCTGGCATGTGAGGTAGAGAAGATAGTTGTTAAAGACGATCCATGTGCTAGTTCAGAAGCTGACGGTGTTGCGCAAAGACTGATGCCGTGATTTCCGTGCTTCTTAGTGAATTGTGGGGTATAGGGCCACCTACGAATGACGTGTTAGCAAGAGTGCATGCTCCTCCATATGTGACATGCATAGGGCAAGCTTGAGTTTGAAAGTGGAGAGGAAGGTCCAAGATCAAGGACTTTATTGGAGGAACGGATGTCATTTGGCTGCGTTAATGCTGGTGGGCTTGCCAAAGAATGTTAAGCGATCTTCTAAAAGGTGCGTCATGACTTTTTATGACTAAGGGCGTGTAAGTTGCAGACGAACATTGGATAAACGGGACGTTGTCGTAATGAGTGACCGCAAGTGCACCAAGTTCGAAGTTTCCAAGACCGGGACGGTATTGAATGATGATAGCCGCATTCGCAAGATTCGTAGATCCAATGGGGATGCCAGTATTCGTTCGTAAAGAAATAATGTCGCACAACAGTACGTATATGTGGAAGAGCGTGATGAGGTGCCTCGAAGCACGGGCTACCGGCCCATCGGTTGCTCATCTGTTGGCCTATCAGTTGCTCATCTCTTAGCCCATCTGTTGCTCCTTCCTTGGCCTATCAGTTGCTCATCTCTTGGCCAACCGATTGCTCATCTCTTGGCCCATCGGTTGCTCATCTTTTGGCCCATCGGTTGCTCATCTCTTGTCACATCGGTTGCCCATCTCTTGGCCCATCTGTTGCTCGTCTCTTGGCCCATCGGTTGCTAATCTCTTGGCCCATCAGTTGCTTATGTTTAGGCCCATCGGTTGCTCATCACGTGGCCCATCCATCGCGCATCTCTTGGCCCATCGGTTGCTCATCTCTTGGCCCATCGATATCTCATCTCTTGGCTTGGCGTATCGGTTGCTCATCTCTTGGCCCGTCGGCTCCTCATCTCGTGGCCCATCCGCTGGTCATCTCTTGGCCCCTCGGTTGCTCATCTCTTTGGCCCATCAGTTGCTCATCTCTTGGCCCATCGATATCTCATCTCTTGGCTTGGCCCATCGGTTGCTCGTCTCTTGGCCCATCAGTTGCTCATCTCTTGGCCCGTCGATATCTCATCTCTTGGCTTGGCCCGTCGGTTGCTCATCTCTTGGCCCATCAGTTGCTCCTCTCTTGGCCCATTGATATCTCATCTCTTGGCTTGGCCCGTCGGTTGCTCATCTCTTGGCCCATCAGTTGCTCATCTCTTGGCCCATCAGTATCTCATCTCGTGGCTTGGCCCATCGGTTCCTCATCTTGTGGCCCATCCGCTGGTCATCTCTTGGCCCCTTGGTTGCTCATCTTTTGGCCCCTCAGTTGGTAATCTCTTGGCCCCTCGGTTGCTCGTCTCTTGGTCTCTCGGTTGCTCATCCGTATGTGGTATTACGGTATGATTGCGAGACAGGAAAACGACAACAAGTGCGCTGCCTGCCACCCATGTTAGTTCCGTAGTCCTCTCAACACATTGCCTGTAAATTGCCGAAGTGCGAACAATTACTGTACTCGGGTAATGAAGTGCAAGTTGCATAGATGTTTGGTACCGTACATGATTATATTTCCCTTATTTTGTCAAGCGTGACGACACGGAGGTGCGGTAAAAGTGAATGCAGTGATGGATAAGAGACGTATTTCTCTCCATGCAGCCCTCGTTTGAGAACTTGAGTGCGTGTAGGTGAGTGAAAAATCAGATCCAATATCTATCATTGCCACTGGTAGTTGCACACTACCAACCTTACCCCGGTAAGTCAAATCATAGCTTGTGGTGTGGCGTGGCTCCAACATCCAACTACAGCAAGGACTGCTCATGTTTTTTTTTTTTTTTTAATCATTCATGTCTTTGAACATAATAGCCATGGATACAGCATATCCACATGCACAATACCAGTGTGGTTTTCCCAATCTCCGCTTTTGTCCATTTTCTTCCCCTCCCTAAGGCAGTGGCGCTCTGGCAAGCGTATCTTCATACCCTTCCTTCCCCCTCTGGAAAGATTTTATTCAGGCCGACATCGAAAGACACTGACCTCGGTTCCCTCCCCCCCTGGGGGACGGCTCTCAGGCTAGCATGGGAACCCTCGGTCCCCTCCCCCCCTGGGGGACGGCTCTCGGGCCAGCATGGGAACCCTCGGTCCCCTCCCCCCCTGGGGGACGGCTCTCGGGCCAGCATGGGGACCCTCGGTCCCTTCCCCCCCTGGGGGGCGGCTCTCAGGCCAGCATGGGGACCCTCGGTCCCCTCCCCCCCTGGGGGACGGCTCTCGGGCCAGCATGGGGACCCTCGGTCCCTTCCCCCCCTGGGGGACGGCTCTCAGGCCAGCATGGAGACCCTCGGTCCCCTCCCCCCCTGGGGGACGGCTCTCAGGCCAGCATGGGGACCCTCGGTCCCCTCCTCCCCTGGGGGACGGCTCTCAGGCCAACATGGGGACCCTCGGTCCCCTACCCCCTTGGGGATGGCTCTCAGGCCAGCATGGGGACCCTCGGTCCCCTCCCCCCCTGGGGACGGCTCTCGGGGCAACGTTGCGACTCGCGGTCCCCTCCCCCCCCTGGGGACGGCTCTTAGGGCAACGTTGCGACTCGCGGTCCTCGAGTTTATCGAGGAAAGTCGTTGGGTGCGTGTGGAGTAGGTCCGGTAATCGTTGCGATTTCCTGCACGAGTGGTGGAGTTTGGTGCGCGTCCCTTCACCATCGACATCACGCGCCCGTTTTTCTGCCACCAAGGAATTAAAATTATATCGGAATTAGTCAGAGATGAAAGAAACAGCAGAAAAATAACGAAAAAATAATGAGGAAAAATCAGAAGAAGAATTGGAGCATATGCATCGCAACGCAATGTATACGTGAGGAGACAAGGTACGCAGGTGGGTGACGCTGCAGTCAATGGCACAGGCGCTTGAGTGGCAGTTTAGTCACTGCCGCGCCTGTGTCCCTTTCGTCCCTGACGCGCTAGTGGCAATGTCGCCACTGGCGCAAGTGGCGATTTCGCCACAGGCGCGCGTGTGGCGATTTCGTCACTGACGCGCGCCACTGGCGCCAGTGGCGATTTCGTCTCTGGCGCATGCCACTGGCGCAAGTGGCGATTTCGTCTCTGGCGCGCCAGTGGCCGTTTCGTCCGGCGCACTTCAGTCTCAGTTGAGCGTACGCAAAGTACAATCACGGGCGCTATCATGTGGCCCTTCAGCGTTAACACCATAGCTACTTGAAAATATGTGTGGGTGGTTGTTTCTGAAATTGGTAAGGACGGGAACATTGCGAGTGGTTGGACGAGAATGAAGCGGAACTGTTAAGTTCCGAAAATGAAGACGTGAATGGAGGCCAAATGGCCTCCATCCCTCATTATGTACTTGGGAATAGGCATTCGCAGTTGCCTTGCCTCGATACAGTCAGCTGCGCTTTCATAATACATATTTTTAGGAAGTGTTACACACTTTCAAGAAAATTCATGTAATTAAGCAGTGAGTTATTAGCCTAATTTGACAGATCATACACCTAAAAAAACTACAGCAGCTCCTACTGTAACTTGAGTCTACTACAGGACTTGAGGGACCTTGTAAAGAGCAGCTGCAGCGCTCAAATTCGAGCAAATCCTTTGCTGGCTAACTGCAGCATAAGTTGGTACAGAAGACCTCGGGAGACTAAGGAAATGGACTAGTCTCGACAGGAGAAAGAGCAGCAGCGGCGGAACCAACAGCAGAAGGGGCTGTAACTGCTGCAGGAAAGGCAGCAGCAGTGGAGATGCTAGCGATGGCGGCAGCAGCAGCAGCAGCAGCAGCAGCAGCAGCAGAAGCGGAAACAGCAGGAGATTGCCACGTCTCATCGTGCTTACCCGCCCCCCACCACACCCCCCCACTCCATATCATGCTCCCAACTGCATACGAAAGCACAGCAGCCAGTGCAGCCGCCACTTGATCCCCTGCCATCCTGCTATTGCTGCCGCTGCCGCTGCCGCCACCGTCGTCGCCGCCGCCGCCGCTGCTGCTGCCGAAAAGAGCAGCAGGATCAAAGCATGAGCTGCAAGGCAGATCAAGATACTCTTGCCCGAGCAACGAGGGGGTTGGTTGGACGCTGCTGGCATTCGCTGCATGAGAAGGAAGGGAGGCAGTCTCAGAAGGCGGCAAGGTGTCCTTTGCTTGATCACGGTACACGAGATGAGTGCCCTGCCCCTCTGTCTCTACCGGATTACCACTGCTACGTCTACCGCTGTTACTAGCGTCACTGTCTTTTTCTGCGGAAGCACGTGCACTGCATATGGCAGCATCACACTCCCATTCGTCACCTGCGTTCATATCCCTTTCACATTTGCGCTGCTCCTGCGGCTCCTGCTTTTCCTCCTCCACCTCCCCCTCATCCTCCTTCTCGACCTGCTGCTGCTCCTGCTGCTGATGCTCGCGCTGCTGCTGCTGCTGACGGTGCTGCTTCTCCTGCCGAACTACTGGTATTGTGGGGCGGGAATGGAGCATCCAGGGAGGAAGAGACGAGGGCAGCGAGCTAGCAGCAGGAAAGGGGGGACCACCAACCTCACCTACCACAGCAGCGTCAGCAGCTGCTGCACGTCCCGAACCTTCACCAACAGAACCTGCTGGTGCCACATCAGCAGCAGAAGGAGCAGCAGCACCACCACTGCTGTTGCTTCCCCTACTCCATCTGCTTTCCCCTGCCCCCGTACCCTTGCCTCCTTCCTTGCCTCTTGCCTTGCCACCCACACTCATCCCATTCCCTCGGCACGGCCTCAGTGGTGCTTCTTCAGCAGAGCTCGTAGCACCTGGTGCAACGAGCGTACCTGCTGCAACCTCAGCAATTCTGGAGCCCTTTGCGCCCTCTGCTAACTCTGCCCGCCCTGCCTGCTCTGCACACTCTCCCTGCTTCCCCCGCGCTCCACCCTCCCCACCCTCTGCTGCACCCCCCTCGGCCTCTGCACCCCACCCAGTATCTCTTACTGCTGCCGCTTTACCCCCGCCCTCCTTGCCTGCAAAGCTCTTGGGAGCAGCAGGGGCAATGGGCACATGGTGCAATCGCCTGTTCGCCTGCTGCTGCTGCTGCTGCTGCTGCTGCTGCTGCTGCTGCTGCTGCTGCTGCTGCTGCTGCTGCTGCTGCTGCTGCTGCTGCTGCCACACTGCTTGCTGGCTGGGCATAGCTGAAGCGGGCACGGCAGAAGCGGGCAGGGCGGAAGCAGGGACGGCGGAAGATTGCACAGCGCAACGAAACGCTGCTGCCGCAGCAGCAGACGGGAAGGGATGGATCGCAGGAAGGGGCATGAACCCGGGGAGAGCACTGGGCGGCTGCGGGCGCGGGAGCGGGGCGCCAGCAGCAGAATACATGCCCATGCTTCCGCCGCTGCTGCTACCACTGCCGCTGAGCGGATGGAAATACGGTGGCTGCTCAAACATACCTCCCGTACCCATCACCACATCTCCCGCATGCGACACAGGCGGGAGCGACGGGAGAGTGGGGCCGAGAGGGGACGCGAGAGGGGCGTAAAAGGAAGTGTGTGGTGGGGGGGGAAGCCAGGGAAGGGAGGGGAGATGAGCCGACGGGAAGCAGTGCTGGGGGGTGTGGGAGTGTGACAGTAGCGACGGGTCTTGCGGCGGTGGCAGAACGGAATGCGCGTATGGCGGAAGGAAGGCCTCGTGGAACGACGCTGCTGCGCCTATACCTCCTGCTCCTGCGCCCCCTCCGCCTCCCCCGCTTCCGCCTCCCCCTCCGCCTCCGCCTCCGCCTCCGCCTCCGCCCGGCATGTCTGCCGGTATGCAATAATAGTCATTCGCGACGCGTGCTCCTGCGACGGCTGCAGCAGCGGCCCTAGCGGCTGCAACTGCTGCGGAGGACGTGCCTGCAGGCATGCTTGCTGCTACCATGCTCTGCAGCATCTGCTGTTGCTGTTGCTGCTGCTGCTGCTGCTGCTGCTGCTGCTGCTGCTGCTGCTGCTGCTGCTGCTGCTGCTGCTGCTGCTGCTGCTGCTGCTGCTGCTGCTGCTGATGCTGATGCTGTTGCTGCTGCTGGCGAAATTGATGCTGCTGCTGTTGCTGAAACTGCTGAAAATGCTGCTGGTGCTGCTGCTGTTGAAACAGCGCGTCCTGTGCTGCCCGTCCCACGCTGCTCAGTCGCGCAGCAGCATCGAAGTCATACGGAGGAGGAGGAGGCGGCGGCGAAACCAACGGCATGCCAGGAGTAAACCACCTATCACCACCGGGACCGCCCTGACCCCCAGCGCCCCCCGCTTCGTGAGCCGCACTGATTTCACGGTCGCCGGCGTGGGGCATGCGCGTGTCACCACACGCTCCGATTGGATTCCCTGACGCGGGAAGGATCTGCGCCTGCGGCCACGCACGCTGCGCTTGCCGCGGCGGCTCTTCCCCCGCGGGAAGCTTCCCGTCCCGCGCCACCTCCCCCTCAGGCGACTTCCGCTTCCGCTGCGCCCTTCCACGCTGCTGCTGCTTCTGCTGCTGCTGTCGCGGCGGCGACGCCTCCGGAGCTGCCGGCAGCACGTGCGCCTTCCCGTTCCGCGGACTGCCGGATCCCGCGCCACTCCGCGGAGTCTCACATTGGAGGGGCTCACTCCGTTGCTCCCGTTGCCGCCCCTTGCCCGCCGCATGCCTCCCCGCGTCCGCCTCGTTGGGGTTGCTTGCGGGCGACCCGCTGGTGTCAGATCCGTTATGCGAAGGAGACGACTGCCCCTGATGCGTCAGATCGCTCGGCTCGCTCTGCAGACTGCGTTTCACCGCCGTCGGCGCGGCTGCTGCCGCCGCCCCCGCCGCCGTAGCCGCCGTCGCCGTCGCTGCTGCGACCGTCGCTGCCGCTGCTGTGCCAGACGCGTCGTGCAAATTAAAAGTTAGCAACGGATTTCGCTCACGGCGGGTATCAGCGCGTGGTACGGATGGCTGCGCCTGTTGTTCCTGCCAGGGAGCTTCCGCGGGAGGCGGCGGCGAACGCGCAATGCGCGAAGCGTCTCGTTTTGACGACATACGTTCAGTTGACGTTATCCCTGATATCCTCGCCTTGCCGCGATTCCAGCTCCAATCAGACGGATTCAGATCCCAGATCCCTCCCCCTGCCGCGGCGATTGCTCCTTTCCGCACGCTGCGCTCCTCTCCCTCGCCGCCTTTCACGCTACCGTTATCGCTGCCTTTCGCACTGCTGTTGTCACTGCCTTGCATGCAGCATGACTTGTTCTCCCCATCTTCGCGAGACGGTTCCCCCGTTGCCTGATCTGCTGCGGTTGTGCATACGACTGAATTAGATGCAGTAGCACCGACTGTGGAAGTATCAGCGTGAGTAGGTTCTGTGGAGCCCACCGGTACACCAGCAGCCGCTGGAAAATAGCAAGGAGCGAGAGAGAGAAAGAGAGGGAGTGAGAGGGACTGAGTGAGTGAGTGTGTGTGTGTGTGTGTGTGTGTGTGTGTGTGTGTGTGTGTGAGAGAGAGAGAGAGAGAGAGAGAGAGATAGAGTGAGAGAGTGAGAGAGTGAGAGAGCGAGAGAGTGAGAGAGCGAGAGAGCGAGAGAGAGAGAGAGAGAGAGAGAGAGAGAGAGAGAGAGAGAGAGAGAGAGAGAGAGAGAGAGAGAGAGAGAGAGAGAGAGAGAGAGTGAGAGTGAGAGAGAGAAAGAGGAAGAAAGAGGAAGAAAGAGAAGAGAATGCAGGTTCAGGGAAGTGATTGAAAGAGTGCGAGAAACGTACATTGGATTAAAGCGCGAGTGGAGGGCCTAATCCATGAAGTTTTCAAATCGACGAAGAATTAGGGAGAAAAAACAGCAAACTCCACGTGATCAAATTTGCGTACCGTGTAGAAATCCCTCTGCTTGAAGCTTGGCAGCTGCGATTTGGAAAGCAAGACTACAAGGGCCGACACCGCAACTACTCCCGACTTCCATCTCCGCACTAGCTGTGGAATTCTCCATTGGCGAACCGAACGGTCGATGGCAAGCCAGCTGACCTCGCTGCTTGCAGAGATGAAAATCCAAGGAAAAGACGACGCGAATCCAGCTTACTGTTTCTCAAAACGGATCACTAGTGTAGGTTAGCTTGTTGGCTAATTGGTAACCGGGGATGAGGTGACTGGGATAAGCCGAACAGCATCACTTCTGGTCAGCACGAGCTTGCTCGTAGGGGGAGTTGGTAGGGAAGGAGGGAGATCACCACGCCAGTGTTTCGTTTTGTTTTGGCAAGCCCCCTTGGGATGATCATCCTAGGCTCGTCTCGATTCCATACCAATGCTGCCGAAAGGGTGTCGGGAGTCGGGACGGGAACTGCCCGTGTAATCATGTTTCATCTCATGACTAATGCGCACGATTGGCATGGGGGCACTGGGCACCGAACAGCTGAGCAAAGAGGAACTAGTCTGAAGGAGGAGGACTGGATAAAAATTATTTCGGAACGACACGCACGCATGGAGAGCGGAAAATCGGACCGCATGGATGGATCGCCCCAAGAAATTGCCATGACACGTAAGACATGGGGTTTCACCCTCAGAGCCAGCGAGGATTTGTGACGCGCGTGGATGCTGGGAGCCATTTCTATCGACGGCTATCCGCCCTGCAAATGAGCTGGCTGTTGAACTTGAACCCAATGGCTGTGTGCCACGTGATACCCCTATCACTTCTCTCTGGGACACCACACCCAACACTCGCGTCGCTAATGGCCCTGGCTAATTTGAACGACCAGTTCCTTCCCTGGCGGGCACATTTGTAGGAGCCGCCACACGACGACTCGGAGAACGGACCCAACACCAATCCTGCCCAGTCCTGCTTCGTCACGTCAGACCGAAGTGCCAATAGGCCGACAAATACGACCAACCCATTGTGAACATGTCAGCATGGCAAAATACCTGATGGCCACACCAGCACTTGTGAATCCATTTGCATTTCGCAATGCCTAGCTCTCCACATCAGCTTTTGAGAATCTCCAGTACACTAATCTCACACGTCGACCCCACGTGTGATATACAGAGCGAATCCTGGCGCTCCAAAAAATTGAAAGCGTAGAACACGGAACCCAATCTGGGCCCATCCAACATGAAAGTGGTTGATTCAGAACCTTACATTCTTCATGAACAAATACAGTAATACGTTTCCACATGTTATGGGTAGTAAGTAACAGAGGGGGAGCTAAATTATACATCCTTGAGTGAACTGACTGAACGTATGCATCAAACAAATGCCGCAGATAGATATCAAGGGACCTTGAAAGGTGAGTTTTGGCACAAATTAGGGTGCATGAAGACAGACTACAATGGATAGCCTCGGGGTCCAAAGAATCGGGTCGGACAGCAGTCTTGAGAGTAGGGGTTTATGATGGATGCTGTGATGTTAAGGCTAATGAGAGTAAAAACTTTTGTAATTGTGTCAGAAGCATTACTAGCGAGGATGCAGGGCTTGTTGTAACACCAAACCTGGATAGCCTACTGGTTTGGGGTGGCTTGACCCCTCTTGTCTACACGGTGCCATTGTTCATCTCATCTGTCCCCGAAGCACATGTTTGTGTGTTTGAAAATGCCTAGTCAGCCAATTGAAGGAGAAGTGGGTACCAAAAAGGGCAGCCCATCTGTTGGGAGGAGCTCGCATTCGCCATCGAAACCCTAGATTTTATTGCTCGCTGCCCCGCGTGGCCATGGCATGTTTTCCGCGCTTGCGAGTTTCGCTCAAGATATCGGGGCCACATTAATCCTTCGTCGGCCACTCAGACACTGTCCTTGAGCCCATGTAGGTTTCACGAGAGTAAGATCTTTTGGTGAAACTTTCCACCAACCAACAAATGCTGGCTGAGGCTGTTTTACCGCAGGAGACGGACGAAACCCCTACCATCTGAAACTGTTTGGGCCATTTTCAAGTGTAATCTACTCTTGCTAGGAAATGTACTCATGTGCGATCCAGGTTACTGTGCAGATACAACCACCATATTCATTGTAAAGGAATTTCTGTCGATAATTCCTTTTCATACGATATCCGATTCGAAACAACACAAACAGTCTGAATCAAAAGCGATTTCGGATCACGCCAAGCATAATTTGAATGGTCACGTCATATTTGCCCAATTAATTCTTATGCGGACTGTTTGGTTGCGCTCCCCATTCGCCTAGAACCTTGGTGCTTTCCTTTTCTTCCCTCTCCTTAGTGGACAAGGCTGACTGGCGTCACCACCGCACTTTTCCCCAACCAATCAATGAGAGCTAGACAGCATCGAGGGTTCCAACCTCCCTGTCCAAGCCTTCCTAGGTAATAAGCAGAAGTTATGGAGTTCCTTGGCTCTGCAATGCACTACCGTTGTACCAACGGGTTATCGCCAGCTTTTTGCTTGTTTTTCGTTCCAATTTCAGTACGATAAATGTTGAGATTAAAAAGTTAGCGCCTTGACTCCTAGTAACTTTCGTGTTTATGCGATGGTCGGCGTTTTCGAATGCATGGCAGGTCATCCATATTTTCACGGTCGACCTTGTCTTTGGGAGCACGGGTGAACGGTTGGAGCTTCTTTATCTACAGACATGACGTCGAATCCAGGTAATTTTTTTTTACCAGACCTCGCCATTTTTGTAACCTGCCCCTCTTTCTTTAGGGGCTTGAACTCCAAATAAGCCGTGCCGTTTCGTTAGAACTGTCAGTAATACTGATTGCTATTATCTTATTACGCAGTCTCTTCGCTTCGTTTATTTCGGAAAAGAGTTGCTTTGGCCTTTCAACAACGGTGCGACAGGGTTAAGAACCCAAGGTTTCTTTCTTCCCGTTTTGTAATCTCCGTGCTGCTTCTCGTCTTGACACTTCTTGCTGCACCAGGTGGGGTTATGGCCGTATCAGCACTCGATGAACACCAAAATCTGGCCGTAGCTGCTGCAGCTGCAGCTGCCGCTGCCGCAGCTACTGGCCCAATGATGCCTACTACGGCTCCGACTGAGTATATGACGATTCCACATGCAACGATCGATCTTGGTTCGGGACCCATTGTAAGGATTGTTTTGCTTTTGTCATCGTCTGGTAAGTCCAGGGTGGCGGTCCGAGTAATGGATGGCTGTAATATTTACGATAAACGACTAGGCGGTAATGAGGGTTGGCGTTTTTATAATACCTTATTGACAGGTTACAGGAAAACATTTCATTCCTTACTTTCCATTTCTGTTGTTTCGCCTGCTCTGTCCCAATCATATCTGTAGGCGGCTCAACATGTAGCTTACCCTTACGCGACGGACCCTTATTATGGCAATATCGTCACGTTCGGCTCTCAGGCACTGGTAAGAGTTTCCATTCCAGATTAGTATGAACCTTACCTCCTATGTGTTTTTATCTGGCCTGCTGAGTATTTCAAACTGCTCTGTTTGTCATCAGATGGCTCCACTAGTGGGATTACAGCAACAGACACGAATGCCATTACCGTCGGAGATTGTGGAGGAAGAGCCTGTTTATGTCAACGCAAAGCAGTATCATGGTATTTTGCGTCGCCGTCAAGCTCGTGCTAAAGCAGAAGCCGAGAATCGTTTGGTGAAGGCTCGAAAGGTATGCTATGTTTATGCTTAGGCCGCGCCCTCTTTTCCCCTTCCTTTTCTCAGATTTTGCGCACCACTTATTCACTCGCTTGTCTGTGCAGCCTTACTTGCATGAGTCTCGACACAAGCATGCACTTAGACGGGCCAGAGGTTGTGGTGGACGATTTCTCAACACTAAGCAGCTCGAGGAAGCTGCAAAGGCACAGGCACAGTCAGGCCAAGGATCAGGAGAGCAGCTGGGAAATGGTGACGATAAAAAGGTGGACCAAGAGCAGAACGGAGGAACGAGTGGAAATCCTGGCAGTGAGGGTGATGCCCACAGGGTTTCAGCTAGCAGCGAAGAGGAGCAAGGATCGGACACTGGCAAGGGAGTTGAGGGGTCGGATATTGTTCGTCAGTTAGTCGCGGCTGGACACAACACCAGTGGAACTGGCTTGCAAACTGCCGAGGGCACAACTGTTCTTGGTGAAGCTGGAGAAGCCAAGCATGCTGGGAACGGCACCACTGCACCAAATACTATTTCTAATAACATGCAACCTCAGCATGGTGATCAGCAGCAACAGCAGCAGCTTCAAGTGCATGGTTTTGATTTTGGATTCAGTAACCCCCATGGATTTTTCCAGTTTGGTGGCGTCAACGGCCTAACTGCTCCTTCGCCAGCATTTCACCACAGTGCTCCATCCTTCCACCCCAGTGGGACTCCTGCATTTCACCACCCATCTGCATTTCACCCCATCACATCAGCTGTTGCTGAAGCCAACACCGCGTTTGCCAGAGGTTCATCTGCTGTTGCTGCTGGTGGCCCAGCTTCTGCCGGCTTCCTGCATGGGGACTCCAAAGTCTCAGCTCAATAAAATCCCACCATGGGCTCTACCTGTTGCCTCAGCCATCCCCTCACTGGCTTCTGTTGCAGCTCAATGATTCAGCATGAAGTTTGGGTTGGCGGCCGCTGTATAGTTCTACATGGACCTTTGTTGTTTGTCATGTTTTTCTTTTGCTAGTGAAATAATTGCTTTGTATGGTAGTATGTATGACTAAAAGGGTCAATGGCTTTGTTGTTAGCCCTGATTTGTGCTCTACTGCTTTGAACACCCACAACGCCCAAGCACAAGGTCAATAGCCTTTCATACGTCAGCTGTTTGACATATGTCAAGCCCATTACAGCCTCTCCATCTTGCAGGGAGGAGAAATGATCGCAGGAAAATCGTTTTGCAACTCCATCTTTTGAGAAGAACGAGTCTAACGTGTGCTGAGGTTTTAAATATCGAGGAGGGAGTTCCAAATACCTTCATCCAACCGTTTGTGCTCATTCTCGCTCTGTCGAATTTCCTTACTCCCTTCGAAACATCTAGAATCATATCCAAGAACGCTGGCATCAGGCCGTGGAGGCACTAATTCGAAGACGGATTCTGTTAATCACTCCGTTCGCGCTCGCCCGCGCAACCGTCTCCCCATGTCCGACTGGGCCGCGCTCTCTTTGGACGAGTCCAATCGCCGTCCGCTCGGCTATCTCCGCGATCCGCGCAACCGTCGCACCATCCTCATGGGTGCCGCAATCGTCGGCGTCGTGCTGGTCGGAGCGCTTCTCATCTTCGCCTCCACCTCGGCCGCGTCCAGCGGGAATGGCGGCGCTCTTTCCGGCGAGCTAGCGAACGCCCTGCGCGATGTCGTGGAGCCGTTTCAACAGGAGGTGGATTTGGTCGTCTCGTTCAGCGGCCGGCAGCTTCTTGACGGCGTGCGGGTATCTCAGTCGGAAGGCGCCGTGCAGCCGGCTGTGGTGATTTCGGCGCGTCCCAACACGGAGCTTGATCCGAGCAGCCATTACACCCTTGTGAGTCAAATCTCCATTCGCCGTTTTCTTGTTTTATGGGCTTGTAATAGCAAAATTAAAAATAAAAATCCCGCACCTATGCTTGTTAGGTTTTGGTGCCTGTTGCCAATCATTGCGACCGCTTTCTCTAGTTTCATGATAGTTTCGATCCCTGCGACCTGCTGCGTGCACGGGCGCGATAAATTTCCTTTATAAAAAGCGGAATATCCGTGAGGACTCTGCTTCTCGTGCGCGCTCCGCCCACCGCGCATTTCCGCCCGCCTCTCATCTCTGCCTACCGCGCATCTCCGCCCACCCCGGCGCTTCCGCCCGCCGCGTGCGCCATGCAGGTGCTCGTGGACCCTGACGCGCCCAGCCCCTCCAATCCGACCGCGCGCGAGTGGCTGCACTGGTGAGTGGGGCGTGCTTCTTGACGGGTGACTGCACAACTTGACGGCCGCGCCGGCCGCGTCGCGCAACTTGACGGTTGGCCGTTTGGGCTGGGATGGTGATTTTACATCTTAGCCAGGGCAATATCATCAAGCCTAGCCATGCCACGCGTCATGCCATACCATGCCCTCCGATTCCATGCCGTGCCATGCTATCCCATGCCATGTATCCCATGCCATGTATCCCGTGCCATGTATCCTGTGCCATGTATCCTGTGCCATGTATCCTGTGCCATGTATCCTGTGCCATGTATCCTGTGCCATGTATCCTGTGCCATGTATCCTGTGCCATGTATCCTGTGCCATGTATCCTGTGCCATGTATCCTGTGCCATGTATCCTGTGCCATGTATCCTGTGCCATGTATCCTGTGCCATGTATCCTGTGCCATGTATCCTGTGCCATGTATCCTGTGCCATGTATCCTGTGCCATGTATCCTGTGCCATGTATCCTGTGCCATGTTTAGTTTCGTGGGACCGTAACAGGGCGGGCACTAATTTATCTCGTCTCTCTTCCATCCCGTTGCACCACCACCACCACCACCACCACCACCACCACCACCACCACCACCACCACCACCACCACCACCACCACCACCACCACCACCACCACCACCACCACCACCACCACCACCATCACCATCACCATCACCATCACCATCACCATCAGGATCGTTGTGGATATTCCGGTCGACGGCAGTGGGGGTACAGGTGCGTGCAAGCATCGGTGTGCGCTCATGCAAGCATTAGTGTGTGCGCTCATCATGCACGCACGCACCACACATGCCTGTTTACCTGACTCTTTTCCCCTCTTTCACAGGCATAACCTCTTCTCGTGTTGCAAATATATCTCGTTTTTTTGCACCCCCCCGCCCCCTCAACACCCCCCCCCTCCCCCCGCCTTTCCACCCTCGCACTGTCACATTCCCAACCTTCGCTCCCACTTCCCACCCTCCCGCCTCTCACCCTCCCTACCTTCCACACTGCTCCTCGTCCCTCCTTCTCTTCCCTCCGTTTCGTTTTGTTAAACTTCCTTCCACCCCTCCTTCGCCCCTCTCTTCCCTCTCCCCTCTGCCCTCTGCCCTCTTCCCTCTTCCCTCTTCCCTCTTCCCTCTGCCCTCTGCCCTCTTCCCTCTGCCCTCTGCCCTCTGCCCTCTGCCCTCTGCCCTCTGCCCTCTGCCCTCTGCCCTCTGCCCTCTGCCCTCTGCCCTCTGCCCTCTGCCCTCTGCCCTCTGCCCTCTTCCCTCTGCCCTCTGCCCTCTGCCCTCTGCCCTCCCCCCTCGTTTCCTCCCCCTCCCCCCAGGCCGTGTGGTGACGCCGTACAACGGCCCCACCCCCCCAGAGGGCACGCACCGCTACATCTTCCTGCTCTTCAGGCAGCCCACCGCACAGCTCGAGGTCAGTGCCGTCATGGGCGTGAGGGGGGTGTGGGCTGTGGGGGGGGTGTGTGGCGTGAGCGGGGTGTGCGAGGGGTGGGAGTGTGGCGTGAGGGGCGTGCGGGGGGGTGGGGAATGATAGGGGTGAAAGGGCTGCTCCACCCTCCCAGAGGGCACGCACCGCTACATTCTCCTGCTCTTCAGGTAGCCGTCCCCACAGGTAGCCGTCCCCACAGGTCGAGGTCAGTGCCGTTATGGGCGTGAGGGGGGTGTGGGCTGTGGGTGGGGTGGTTGGGTGTGGGGCGTGGGTGCGGGGCGTGAGGGGCGTGAGGGGCATGAGGGGCGTGAGGGGCGTGAGGTGAATGATGATGTGATGGGCCGGGCCCACCCTCCCTCACCCCTCAGGAGGGCTGTCACCGCTGCATCCTCCTGCTCTTCTGGTGAGGGGCGTGAAGAAGCTCAGGGGTGGGGGTGCGAGGTGGGTGTGGGGTGTGAGTGTGGTGAGGGGTGTGAGCGGGGTGTGCGAGGGGCATGTGGCGGGTGTGTGTGGGGAGGCCTTCTTTCCTCCCTCTTCTCCTCTCCCACCCCCCACTCTCCGTTCCCTCATCCCCCCCACTCTTCTCTCCCCTCTCTCCTCTCCCTCGTCCCTTCTCTCCTCCTGTACCTCCATACCCTCCCTCCTTTCCTCTCTCCTCCTCTCTCCTCCTCTCTCCTCCTCTCTCCTCCCCTCCACTCATCCCCTCTCTCCACCCCCTCCCTCTTCCCCTCCCCCCCTCCCTCCCCTCCGTCCCCTCCCCCCTCCCTCCCATCAGGTCTCAGCACTGGATGAGAGAGCCAACTTCCATGCAGCACAGTTTTCAGCGGACCATGGCCTGGGAGTCCCAGTGGCCGCACTTTTCTTTACTCCTCCCCCACTCATCTCCTCCCTCATTCCCACCCTTCGCCCTTCTCTCCCATCAGGTTTCAGCACCGGAGGAGAGAGCCAACTTCCATGCAGCACAGTTTGCAGCGGACCATGGGCTGGGAGCCCCAGTGGCCGCACTCTTCTTTACCTGCGAGGCAGGAGAGACTTAAGTGGGGACCTTGTTCTTATACGACTTCTGAGGCGCCTTTTGAGGCGCCTCAAAAGGAGCATTGTTCTTCTTTCTACGGTGCTTCAGCGCTAGAAGAAGGAAGGGGGCTCACAAAAGGAACAGCTGTTTTATTAAGGAGAGGTCGGTCGGTGGGAGCCTGAATTCAGAGGCGCCTCAGAAAGCCTTTGTTTTCTTTTTAATGCTGGGGTGGGGATGCGTAGGTGGGTGGGTGGGTGGGTGGGTGTGACCCTGCAATGTCTTGATGCAGTTGGTTTGTCAAATGTAAATGTACCTGTTTGTTTGTGAGGATATGTTGGTGTGTGAGGGGTTGTGGGAGGTGAGGAGGGATTGGGTGACTACATTTTGTAAGTAGGTACTGCACGGTAGTTCAGTGCTCTCCCTGTGGGTTGAGTGTTGGTTGGCATGTTCCTACTCTCTTATCAGGCAAATTTCTTGTCAGACCTGCCTAGTAAAATTCGTGAAGGTTTCGGGGTTTAGGGAAATTTCCGTGTGCTTTGACGCGAGCCTGATAAGAGGCTGGCCTGTGATAAGGGGCAATAGGGACATTCCCTGCGTGTCTTGTTGACATCTCTGGATTGTGGTTGCATTTCATAGGTAATCCCCAAGTTTTGCTAGCACAATTTCATTCTACGTTGCATTGCATTGGGGGTTCATTCCATAACAGCATATTCAGACACCTGAGTAGACTAGTATCACGCCAGACATATTCACACTGAAATATGAACACCTAAAGCTACCTACCTAGCTGATACTACTTCACAGCAGGTCTAACCTTATTCCATCTACTGAACTAGCTACAATCGCATGAAACTACGGTAATTGGCCACCTAGAGCATCTTCGACACTCAACACATACACTCGTTTGGTGACCCTGCCACCTGCCAAGCTCGGAAACACCTTCAGCATTGTGTACAGTGTACACGCATCTATGCTCCAAATGCCGTATAAAGTGGATGACGTGGTATGGCACGGCATGGCATGGCATGGAACAGCACACGCCATTGCCTTATTCCATCTTACGGTATTTGTGCCATACCTCTTGTCGCATCCACATCGCGTGGATGGCAGGTTACCTACCTACTTGTGTTGCCTTCCAAGTGACACCTCAACTAGCCTGGTAAGGCTGCTTGGGATGGCGTAAGGTAAGGGAGAAAGCGAGCGAGCACGAGAGCAACTGTGTGTTCTCACTCCAGCTCACACTGTCACGTGCTCACATGCTCACATGCTCGCTCGCTCACATGCCCACGCATCCCCATCACGCAGCATTTGCTCTTGCATGCCGATCTATGCACATGCCTCGACCGCCCCTGGATCCAGGTCATTCATTACGATTCCCAGAAGTCACTGAAAGCACCGCACACATGATGTTGCTGCTGCTGGTGCTGCTGCTGCTGCTGCTGCTGGTGCATTTCGCACGCGGGACAGCCGTGCACGGAGTGGTTGGGGCCAAAGTCAGCACACGTGATGGAGAGAGGACCGTGAGGTGTGAAGAGACGTGCAATGAGAGGGTGACGAGCCTTGTTGCGCCTGAGGGGAGGGGGGTGGCAAAAGGGAAGTGTGGGAAATCGGGGTTGGTAGGGAAGGTGAGGAGGGGATGTGAGGAGGGGAGTGGAGCAAGGGAGGTGGGTCGGGAATGAAAATAGCGTTGGTATGAACTGTTGTGCTCACCTGTCATGCGTGCCACATGGCTGCGTTGGAGGCAAGTGGGTTGTGCTTGTATCACGTTTTGAGAACTGAACTGTCAAACGTGAGCCCCGAAGTGCCGAGCTCACCTGTCATGCTTGCCGATGTGCAGTGTTGGGGGCAAGTGACGGCGACCGGAGGGGGCGAAGTAGAGCTTCAGCATGCAGCCAGGGGGGAGACGGACGGAGGAAGCGACAGAGAACGGCAGAGCAGTAGATGAGAGCGAGGACGGAGAGACCGCAGGGGGTGGGGTACCGGGTGGGGAGGAGGGTGGGGATGGTTGGGAGGGTGCGGAGGGTGCGGAGGTTGGGGAGGATGGGGAGGAGGAGGGGCTTTTAGCAGGTGAGGAACTGGGATCTCGGTTCTTGTTTCTCCCAGTGGTGCCGATCCCTTGTGCGTCGTTGCTCTCTCCCTCATCGCTGCTGCAGTCACCATCGCTGCTGCTGCTGCTGCTGCTTCCGCTGCTGCTGCTGCTGCTGCTTCCGCTGCTGCTGCTGCTGCTGCTTCCGCTGCTGCTGCTGCTTCTGCTGGTGATGATGATATTGTGGCCGCCGTCGCTGCTGCTGCTGCTCATGCTGCTGGTGCTGCTGCTGTCGCAGACCTCCTTGTCATTCTCCTTCTTCTCGTCGTCCTCCTCCTCCTCCTCCTCCTCTTCTTCCCTCCCCTCCTCCTCATCCTTGCTCCCAATGTTCTTCTCTTTCTCCTGTTGTTCCTGCTGCACCTTCCGCACTTGCTGCCCTCCCCCATGCATTTGTTCAAACTCCAAAGAGCTAGGATGAGGCGAGTACACCCCTCTCACCTCACCATACGGCTGTAGGGCCTGAAGAGGGTGAAAGGGAGGGGAAGAGGCGGGTGGGGAGTTTAAGACTTCACCAAAAAATAGGACACAATCACCTGCTTGACCATGCGCAGAGTGACTTTGCAAGGACAATCCCTGAAGCGCAACACCTGCGACGTTTTTTTCTGCGCCCCTTGAAGTGCCTCAGTGCGTGCAATCAATCACCTGCTTGATCAGCGGCAGAGCGTCGGCGAGTGGGATGACGGAGGGGAAGGAGAGCCCCACCCAGAAGAGCGCCCGGATATCGTCCTCCGTGCACGCCCGCACTGCCACCACCTGCCTGCCTCGCCTCCCTGCTGCTGCTGCTGCTGATCCTGGTGCTGTTGCTTGTGTTGGTGCTGTTGCTTGTATCGCTGCTGTCGCTGGTGTAGTTGTTGATAAAGTCTCCAGGTAGGCTTGCCACCCGCTCTTGCTGCCGGCAGGAGCAGCAGTGGCACCAGCAGCGGAAGCAGCAGCAGCGGGTGTGGCGCAAGGGGAGTCCCAGTGCAAGGGCGCGCGTTGGAGTGCTTTCATCATCGCAACGTGCGATACGAACTCAATAACTGGAAAAGGGGGGGTTGTGCGGCGAGAGATGAAGCGGAGGGAGGGAGGGAGAGACATGAGAGTGAGACGGGGAAGGGGAAACAGCCAGGGACAAGGATAGGTAGGGAGAGTAGAACAGGGCAATGAAGAGTGAACTCAATGAAGTGGGTGCATCTCCCCCCCCATCATCTCCCTCTCACCCTCCCGCCCCTCCCTCTCTCGCTTTCTCTCCCTTGCATCCTGTCCAACTCTCGAGCCCCTCCCGCTTCTCACGCATCAGCACCTGCATCCCCAAAATCTTAGGCGCCTCAAAAATCACCTGCATCCCCGGCATGAGTGAACTCGATATGGCGTATGGGGTAGGGACATATGCGGTACGACAAGTGCTGGTCCAGCCAGCGCGTCTTCTCTAGCGGGGATACCTTGTCCTGGAGAGGGGAGAATGGAGGGAGAATGGGGGAGGGACAGCGGACGGGGACGGGTCGGGAGGAGATTTGATTCAGGATACAGATACAGACACAGATAGAGGTACAGCTATAGCTACAGATACAGATACAGAGTCAGATACAGATATTATTTCACAGCAAATAAAAGACCTTTGGTTCACACATGGAGTCATTTTATGCGGGAAACCATCAGCACCACCAGACCTTTGGAAACCATCACGGATGTTCCCCGTGCTCGCTGCAGCACGCACCTTGATTCTTGACGTCAGCACCACCACCTGCACCTCCGGCCGGAAATAAAGCGTGGAATAGTAGCTAGGGTCCTCATAGTCGCAGAGAGCGCCCGGGATATGCGGGGCGTGCGGCGCGTGCTGCCGCACGTGCATCATGCCGCGAGAGCCGCCGACGCCGCCGCGCTCTGCCGCCGCGAACGCCGCCGCGTGCAACGGCGGCGGGCGCTGCATCATCATAGAACCGTGGTGGATGTAAGGCGGCGGAAGATGCGGCGCAAAGTGCGGCGGGTGAGGCAACGGTTGGTGAGAATGATGGAAGTACGGCTGGTGATGCTGCTGCTGGTGTTGCTGCTGCTGTCGATTTCCCTTCCGCTGATAGCCCGTCGTGATAGGCGGTGCCTCGAAGAAGGAAGCAGGAGGAGAAGGCGGCGCGTTACCCATCATCATTGGAACCATCACCATGTCGTACGTCGCCGCATCGTACGCCACGTCATACACCGCATCGTACGCCGCTTCGTACGCCGGATCATACGCCGCGTCGTACGGCGTGTCAAACGGCGGGTGGAACGGAAGATGGCCGGCGCCGGACGCGGCAGGATTCCCCCCTCGTGGCGACACATGCGGCGGCATTTGCGGTGGGTAGAATCCATCGAGAGGCGGCGGGGAAGGAAAGAGCGGTCCGTCAGAGGAATTAAACATCGTGACCGTCCGTTTTGACGAGCGGTTATCTCCGCGAGTCTGCGGCGACTCGCAAAGTCGATGGTCGCACAGAGGCGGCCGCAGAGCTATCGCGACAGGCGCCTGCGATGGATGATGCGCGATAGAAGTTGTTGGTGGACTCTGAAAAGGGGAATATCACTCTTGATATCACTAAGATGATAACTACCAATGCTGCGCCTACTACCAGTGCGTACTGCTGATAATGGCTGAAGGAGCTAAAGCAGGGGACAAGGACCGCGCAATATAGTATGGCAAGTGCGACTGCGTCTGCACTCCAGCGGCGATAGGTATCGATGATGACGGAGAAGATAAAAGGTAAGCTGGGGGGCGGCGCACGAGAAATTGAAGAGTCTACTTCTGGAATGAGGATGTGACGCCTTATGAGGCGCCTCAAAAATGGGAATGGGGGACGACGCCGGTGAAAGTAGTAGAGCTGGTTTCGAGTCCGATAAACTGCGAGGTTAGCTCAAGGGTCAAAGAGCCGTTGGAGCGTTTTAAGGTCGTAGCGTGGGTCGTGTTGGCTCACACGCGCACGGCGGAACGTGCTCCATCCGCGTTCTCGGAAGACTGTCGCGTTCCGGCGTGCGTGCGCGATTCGGGATTGGGGAGAGAAGAGGGCCAAGAGAGAGGACGGGAGTGCGGAAGCAGTTCGGGCTCCCTGAATACAGACCGGATTTCTATCAGCTCGACGCGGGATAAAAATAGATAAGGAGAGTTTTCTGGATAAAGGTGGTTGAGGTCCCGTCTCTTTCCGCATGAGTCATGCGCGGCTGGTCAATCAACCCTTGGCGTATGGGAGGAGGTTGTCATAGTCTGAGGTCGAATTTGGACGGGTGTTGCGCTGGGATGAGAAGGAATAGGGACAGGGGGAGGAAAAACGCACATGTTTGGCTGTTTGGTGAAGAGTAAAGTTGAGTGGAGACTAGGGAGCGAAGTGGTGGGGCTGATTACATCAAATTTGCTCGTGGGACGAGTCACGAGTTGGAAGAGAGAAATTTGATGTGATGCGGCAGGAATGAGATGGGGCGTTTGTTGGATGGGATGGGCTGTTGTGTAACGCATTTTTGGGTGGGTGGGTGGGTGTGTGTGTGTGTGGAGGGGGGGATGTGTGTGCGGATGTGGGATGAGATAAGAGATGCGAGAAGGACATTTTGGATGAGCAGACGCGACGCGATGCTTCTTGAGAGGGGGTGAAGTGAAGGACGGGAAGAGGGGGGGCGTGAGGAGGTGAGGAGAGGATGGGTTTGAGAAGAGAACAAGCAGCGGATGTTGCGGAGGAGAAACGAATGGGGTGACAACGGACGGGTGGGTGGTTGTGACGCGATCCGTGTTGCCGATATATTTTTTATTTCGGTGTGCTCCGACCTGGTTGTTGGGTCGAATTCCTAGTAGTGGTTTGAACACTCCTCCTCACCCCCACCCACCCACCCTGCCCCCCTTCCATATTCTGTTTTGGTATACGGCAAAACTATAAAACATGGTTGCCTAAGAAACGGCTTGATCCCTGAGTAAGTGTTTTGACGAGTACATATATCACAAACTCGTAGCTGAGGCGGTTGCAAAGCAAGACGACTGGCGTGTCGTTATTGGAATGCAAAGGACAAAACTGGGCGGCAGGCAGGCACGTGGTTGGATGACGTGACCAAGATGAGTCGCAAAACTGCAATGAAGTCGTCTCAGGTGTCGCATATAGGAAGACGAACAGTCGGTGGTGAGTCGCAGCGACTCGCAAAAGGCAGCGAGTGGGCTGCCGACAGTTATGGTAACTGCATACGACTCGCTCGCTAGTGTTTTACTCCACGAGGTTACAATTCTAGACGAGCACGGCGTCGCGTAATTCCTGGCTTGCTGTTTTCTGAAATGCGCTGCCACCCTCAGGCTTGCCAGCGACACGCCATGTCTAATTGGAAATAGGCGGGCATGGCGCCATTTCCATTCCCGGTTGCAGCCGTCGTCACTGATTGGGCTCCAGGAATTCAAATTCTCAGGTCTGGTAACGAAAGCAGTTGTCCTTGCCGTCACTGGCACCACCGTACCGGCCCACCACGCCCGGTGAACGAACCACATGTACCTTTCTTGCTCCATCGTGACATGCGATACTAGTACGATTCTGTTGACGACGACTGCTAGCGACTGCAGCTTGACCTGCAGCAATGTGCAAATTGTCGGCACAATACAATGCAGTAAACAAGGGTAGTTTCCCTGGACGAGAGATCTACTACAGTTCTGTAGTCCATTTGTGAGCCCGGCCAGGATTCGGGAAAGTTGGTTCACAGTATGGTACACCTGGTTTCTCGCCACGGGAAACCGCGTACATCTGGTTTTGTTCGGGCAGATTTTGAACTGTTTTCATTCCCTGAGGTGACGTGAGCTGGGCATTATGGCTTTCAGGACATCTTACAGCGAGTACAGTTGACAATACATCTGAACGGATGTACCAAGACGGAGGACAAGAGCATTTCTGTTACGAGCAAGAATTGCACTATCGAAGACGGAGGACAAGAGCATTTCTGTTACGAGCAAGAATTGCACTATCGAAGCAAAACAGTACAATGAGCGAAGGAATGAGCGAGTACTAAATAGCGAAGGCCACAGTGGTAACGGTAACGGACAGTGTTGGAGGTCGAGTGTGTTCAAAGAAAACGGTGGTGGGGTAGTTGTATGCCCCCAACCCACCGAATGTGTTTCTTCTAGTGCCCACGAGTTGCGTGAGCTGCAGGGAGTGGATTGACTTCAGAAGACCCACTCAATGGGTGCCACATGGCAACACAAGAAGAGTCGAGATTGAAGAAGAATTCGGTTCGGTGAAATTCGGGTGCTGAATTTCACCCCTTTGATTTTTTACATGAATGTTACATGCGCGACCCGATGTGTTGAGTAGCTATAAATGTGTTTGCCTTGTTTGCATGTTTTCATACTGAAACCGATAATCACTTTGTATGTGATACATTCGACTGCAAAATCCAGAGAGCTCCTCTCCTTGATTCCAAGGGCACTACCTAGCACATAAACGCATATATCTCGCTCGATACTCGGGCGATCTGCGGAGTTTTACTCTACAACGGTGGTGAGCTAGACTACGGGGGTTGGCACGACCTACTAGGAGTGATCTTCGCTTTGCCTAGTTCCTTCGTGCTTGCACAATCACGGGAGAAAAAACGGCAAGAGTTTCACTAGCAAAGTTGGAATTACGTAATTGTTCAAACAGGCAATGACAAGAATGACTACATCAGGCACCTAGCAACTCTGCAGCTTGCCTGGTCGACTGACAGCACAGCATGGTCGACCGCCTGCCAGCGTTGCGTAGATGAGCCGTGCCAGCACTGCAGAAAGGCGACCTGCCAACGCATCAGGTCGACGGTGTGCCAATGCTGCAGTAAAGCGGCTGTCCAACGTTGCCCCGTAGTAGATAGCAGTGCGCACGCTTGCAGATGGGCGCAGACGATTGGTCGGACTTGCACCGTTGTGCATTCGTCGGCTGTTGTCTGCGCCTGACGAGCCACATCGACTTCGGGATACCAACCCGAAGTCGCCTTCGCCATCGCGACCTCGACGACGTTTGCGTGCCTCCGCAGAACTCGCCGAGTAGGTTACCCGGTCGACCTGGGCGACCACCAGGTGCCCCTGGTCGACCACAGCTCCCGTCGAGCTACCCCTGGTCGACGGACCCCCTCCGTCGATCAGGATTGTCAGCTGTTGTCGCTGAGCTCCCCTCGTCGACCGCTTCTCCACTGTCAGGTCGACGGACTGCTCCGTCGACCTCCCGGTCGAACTGCTCCTCCTCGTCGACAGCACACCCGTCGCCCAGACCAGTCAGTTGCGGCTGTCGACTTCCCTGGTCGACAGCAACACCACAGTGGTCCCCTGCGGCTCAACGAAGCCTGTCGAGCAGCTCTTCTACTGTGAACGATCAGCTGCTACTTCCGTACATCCGACCAAGTCGTCGGCGTTACCCAAGCGAGGGCGGGGCCAACACTCCATTCCTGTTAACACTCCCCTGCCGCGCTCACGCTTGGGCCTCCAGCCCACACGGCAGCATACTACGGAGAAAACCCGTTCTCAGCGTGCACCCCACACACAGCACGCCGTCACCGCACCAGCCGTGCAGAAGGGCATGGCACCTACTGCTGCGCATCATCGTCGCCGTCGCCGACGTCGGCCATACGAACTTGGCCGATGGCGACAGAGCACCGGTTGAAAGCCAGAAAATGCAGCGCCTTCGTCAGGAAGTCTGTCGGCTGGTCGGTGGTCGGGATGTACCTCAGTACGAACTTCCCGCGCCTTACCATGTGCTGCAGCCAGGCATAGCGTCGCTCCACGTGCTTGAGATTGCCTGTCAACCCCAAGCCCTCAGCGACCGTGATTGCCGACTTGTTGTCGACGCGGAGGATGGTCGGCTTCCCAGCGTCGAGTAGCTTGAATTCCGCAAGAAGGAAACGAAGTCGGCGTCCCTCCTTACATGCATCCGTGACCGCCATGTACTCCGACTCTGTCGATGACAATGTCACGCACTTGATGCGGGAGCTCGACCAGGAGACGGCGACCCCTCCGTAGACAAACACGTAGCCTCCCGTGCTCGTCCGGTTCTGCTTGTTGCCCGCGTCGTCGGCGTCCACGTAGCCGATCAGCTCCAGTGACTCTGGTCCATCGCCAAATTCCAGGGCGGTGTCGCGGGTGTCGGCGAGGTAGGCGAGGCAGCGGTCGACCTCGCGCCAATGCTGGTCGCTCCTCATCGTGAGGCCGCTCCCCAGCTTGCTGCAGGCAAACGCAATGTCCGGCCTCGTCGTCGTCGCTGCGAAATGCAGCGAGCCAACCATCTGCCGGTACTCCTCCTCCTCGCGCTTCTGGGCCTCCTCGTCATCGAATGTCAGCTCGGCATAGGCATCGACCGAGACCGGCGTCTTCGGGACTCGACCACCCTGCTCCTTGTCGATGAAGCGCCTACGCAGCTTATTGGGGTAGCCCTGCTGGTGAAGCCA